ACATGTGGAGCTAAGTAGCTAGAAACACTAACATGGCTTACCTTGGTCAAAACTGGTCTTCAATGGCATTAAAACGATAAAAAAACGATGCTGCAGTTAATCCATAGGTTCATCCAATGTATCTCTGCCCTCTTTGAAATTATTTCTGATAATCCATAAGCAATAAAACTGCTTTTTAGTTTCCAAATGTCAGAGGGAGAGATCGGTCCACTCTGATGCAAAATTACATGCGCGCAGCCCCCACCTTTTCTCTTTACAATGAGTGTGTATGTGGGCCTCCCCCTTCGATTCTATTGGCTCTAACGGTCAGAAAGAGGTGTCAACCATCAAAATCGAGCAAGGGGGGCCAGAGATATGAAAAAAAAAAACATTTTCACCCAAATCACCTCAGAGGTGGGGTGGTTTTGGCTAAACCTCTCTAAAAAGGTCAAATGTCACTTGTTTTGCATCAATCTTGATACAGGGTACTTATTATATGTTGTACTTTGGATTCCTAAAGCTTTTAGTCTAGTAACCCATCATCCAAGGGTAGTTTTCACTATCTGTAAAAAATAATTTTTGGACGGACACTATAATTTACAGTTTTTTACTATGTAAAATCTGAATTTTCTTTAAAATAAAAAACATTTATATTGATTCTGACACTTCTACATCCAACTCACAGATGTAACCTTGCTTTGATAATGAAATATTATTCATATAACCCTTTTAGAAGTTAGGTTGTAGTCATTTGTTTTGGGCATGTCATTTTCGAGCCTGAAACATGAAAAACAGGCTTGGTGCTTAACAGGTTAAGTGATAAATACATGTTAAAATGTGGCATTTGATGCATCCCAAAATGCAAACTAACATAACACATTTTGAATAAAAAGTATAACATGAACATTAAAATGTAAATATTTTTTAACTAAATTCTTAATAGAGAGGCGAAGTCCCTCCCTTTCCGGTGGACCTCCATGGGACCTTATTTCGGAAAAAGTATGTATTGAAGTCAATGGCGAGAGAAAGATTATCTTTCGATCCTGTTTGAATTGTGCCACGAATTACACATATGATGTTAGTCAATTTAAAAGATAATTTTGCAAGTCAAAACAATTAAAATGTGTCGTAAAACTGTGAAGTAACACTTTTTTGTTTGTGAAACCGCTCAATGACCTACATTCATGGGCCTACATCTCCCGTCTCGCACCACAGACCAAGACGGCCGTCACATTGGCACATTTCACTTCTTTCTTTCAGAATGAGGCGGAAAGTATTAAAAGAGGTGAAAATCACTACAACTCTGGGCATGTTGAGAGCTGTACCAAGCCCCCCGGAAGTGCGCCGGACTCAGATGAAAATATTCGTGCTGGCCAAACGGCGGTACTACACTTCCTTTTGGTTGCCAGGCCCGGAAACACTTTTTCCCATTGACTTACATGGGGAAAGAGTGGTCTGTAAATCGTTGGATAATTTTTTTTAAACTAAATAAACTACCCAGTATGAACACTTGTATAGCCCTTATTAAAAACATTCGTTCCTCAAGTTGTAAAAATGTGCTAATAACGTTATTCTGAGAGTTATTTCCCTCTGCATTATGAACGCGCATCTAACCCACGGGACCGCGCCGCCCGGCACGTTCATGTTACGTGTTCAGCACTACATGCGTTTATCTTTACCCATGGATGCACAATAAGAACGGACCCATATCGCCTTACTGCCAGCCCACGGAGCTGTAATAATGGATATATTGCACATGTTTGCTGTAATTCATCATTTGTAAAATATTATACTACATGGGCTGTATGATTAAATCTTGTACCGTAAATGTTGTATTAAATAAAGTTAATATTACCGACGTAGATTAACGTCCCTGTACAGTAGTTTCTTATTGCACTAAGAAGCTTATTGCACTGTATATATATATATACATACATATACATATATATATATATATACAGTGCAATAATTCTTTCATGCTAAATGAAGCTCTGTTGCTTGGATATCACTAGATCCTGTTACAGCGTAAAAGTACATAACGATTGATGTGTAAATTAGCATAATTACTAGCTAACCGCTAGCTGCTAACTGCCGCCTTGTTAATATCAAATCTATCATAATAACAACATAGTCTTATATTTCAACAGTTTTACGACAAACTGTGACTTTTTTGACATGGAAATTATTTTTTAAGATTGACAAACATCATATGTGTAATTCGTGGCACAATTCAAACGGGATCGAAAGATAATCTTTCTCTCTCCATTAGGCTTGTTTGAGACAAGCGAGACCTGCGCAGACCTGCGCAATTGCGATCAACGGCTAGTGCGTTGCATGATGGTTAGTCATTTTGTCCGACTTGCTCAGGAGGCTCGCCTACATGAGACGTTGAAATCTCGCGGGACAAAGACGCCCGCAGACTTGAGAGCGAGGCGCGGCGTGGCGGCGCAGTTTCTCTCCACGGGCTGCGGAAGCGAAATGCTTGATGGGAAACGACTCGCTGGTATCTCGAGGTGAGCGCTCATTGGTGTTTTTTTACCCCGTGCTGGAGATGAAACTCTCCATTGGCTCGGCAAAAGTGTGTTGTTGTTTTGTGTCAGTTTTACGTCGCCACTTCCATTCACATTTTTCATCATTGTTCCACAATGTTTATCATGACATTAATATCTATATATTTTATACTATACTTGCACTGCTTACCGTTGTCATACTTTATATATCTTAGCATATTCATACAACACACTGTTCATACTAGGCTAGGCTACTGTGTATATAGTGTATTCATACCCCTCACTGTTTTTTCATCATTCAATTCATTCTATATTTTATTCTGTAGATTGTGTACATTACTTTTCACTTTACTGCTTTATGCACTCCTGGTTAGAAGCTAAACTGCATTTCGTTGTCTCAGTACCTGTAATCTGTGCAATAACAATAACGTTGAATCTAATCTTGAGCAGGAACAAATGTATTTACTTAGTACATATCTGACATTAACGATTAAACACATTTGTGCATTCTTTATAAATGCAAACCGAGTCAAGCCGACTCCGGAGGTGGCGGTATGCACCTTAAAGTTGTTTGCAATCCGCCAAAAAAAACGAGAGAAGAAGAAGAAGAGGAAGAAGCCGACTCCGAGCTGTCCGACTTCAGGCGAGCTTTTTGAGACCTCCCACGGCTGCGATCGGCTAATCTCGTCTACTTTCGAGGCGAGCCGCAGCTCGTCTCAAACAAGCCTAATGACTTCAATACATCATTTTTCCGAAATAAGGTCCCATGGGTCGGAAGTAGATGGGCGGGACTTCGCCTCTCTATTGGAACAAAAACAAAGCTTTCAGGTTTTTGGTAAGAAAATGACATTTAGCACTCAAAAAGGTAAGAGGAAACTGCATGTGTAATCTACATGTTGACATTTAGATTGAATGATATTTTAAAACATTGAATTTGTAAATATTTGTAACTGATGTTTGTATGTATTTACAGAAACAAAATAAGAATATATTCTAACTCTCTGGGAAACGGTCACATATCAAACTGAACTTGATTACAACAGACTTTCTGTCATGTTTACATGTTGACTGTACCACCACTAAAACACAATGATTTATTAACTGATTTAAAAATCTAACCCCTAGATTCCACCGGGTCCGTCTGCGGCGCGTTACGGACGCGTTACGGACGCGTTACGGACGCGTTACGGCTGCGCCGCGGTGCTCAAGGTGATCGCGGCCACTCTAGTCAATGGGTGCTATTCCACCACACGCGGCGCGTTACGGCTCAGACGCGTCCCAGAAGCGTCCCAGAAGCGGCTCGGCGCAGGGCTTTTCTAAAATTAGGATCGAATCCTATTTTTGTCGCGGCGCAGCCGTAACGTAAGGTCGGGCAGGCAGGAAGTGGAACGTTCAGAGCTATATAGACCTATATATATATACACACACACAAACTAATTTTGCAGACCCTATCCCTCCGTAGTCTTTCAAGTAGGAGGAGAAATGCCAGCGTTCTCCTCCGGTTTACAGGCACTGTGTAAATTATATATATAGAATAATTATGATGATGAATGCATTTTTTTTACCACTAAAATACAGCAACACATCTTTGATTCATGTCGTTTATAACTGGAATATTACAGTTATTATTAACTTTGTCTGTACAAAGTAGCCTGTCCAGGAAATATGCCCAAATCAACAAAAACTGCGAGCCGGCAGGCAAGACTCTCCGCTTCTGAAATGCTTCTGAAACGCGCCTGGTAGGGTATGACGCCGGAGGAGGCCGGACCAAAACCGCGGCGCAGCCGTAACGCGGCGCAGACGGACCCGGTGGAATCTAGGGGTAAGAGAGGAGAGGGGCGCAAGGAAACACGAGTGCTGGCTATGCGGAAGTGTTATTGCTACATGCGCATCAAAGCTCCGCCCACAGATCCAGAGCGGTGTGCATACTGAATGATTACCCCTAGATTCCACCGGGTCCGTCTGCGCCGCGTTGCGGTTTTGGTCCGGCCTCCTTCTATGGAAAGCCTAATGTGCCATATAACGCATACATAGTCTCGCGCGAATATACGGGGAGGTCCGTTTTTTCGCGCGAAAAAACGCGCGAATATACGGACCTCCCCGTATGTTCGCGCGAAAATACGCGCGAAATTTCGCGCGTATGTTCGCGCGAAAATACGCGCGAAATTTCGCGCGGTTTTTAATATGATAATGAGCCCCTCCTTCTGATTTCATTAGCCAATGAGTTCAAAGTGTCTTCAACCAATCAGTGAGGGGTAAAGCCAGACCAAAGCAATCTGTAGATTAAAAGTTCCTGACATTGTGAGGCTGTGCTGTAAATTGTACATTATTCCAGATGCAGGGGACTAAGTATTAATTTGCCTTTGTATATAATAAATATATCACCTTACACCTTATCACCTTGTCAAAATGTTCAGTACAGTCTCTGGTCTTGCTAGAAATGCAAAGTCACTCACCTTAGAGCACTGTTTTATGAGATACTTAGCTTAGAAATCCGATTTTTGGAAAACTTCAAAACTGTTGTGAAACACAGATTTACTCATGTCCTCCTTTTATTTTGGTGTTTCAGATTTGGTTCACCAAAGTCTTTGGTTCACAAAAGTAGTGAAATATATGAATTACACTATAGGCCTACATAAATGTGTTATTCATGTCTAAAATGAAAATGTGTAAATTAGAATTTGGAGTAAGTAAAATTGTTCTATCACTCTACTTTCACCACAGAAAAGTTACATCAGGACTGATTCATGACTTCATATTCCATACTGAGGTTCATGTGATGTGTACAAATACAAATTGAGCATTACAACTTTTTTTTTCAACCAACTATTTATGTTAACATAAGAAACTGTAAAATTTCAATATTTACAATATCAGAACTTTCTCAACCAACTATTCATTATACATGTAAAGACAGGGGGAGCAGTGTCATGGTCTTTGTCCGTCTTCCAAGGCAGTGGGGCTGGCTGCTGTGTAGGTGGGGGTGATGGTGCATGGGCTGCTGGTGGCTGTGTCGGAGGGAGGTAGGTGGGATTGTCCCGGGTTGATGCTGGTGGCTGTGTGGGAGGTACGTGTGCTGGCGAGACTTCTTTGCTGGCTGGGTTGATCGTGATGGCTGTGGTGGAGGCCTTTGTACCGAGGTGTATCTTAATCTTATGGCAGGCACAGATGGAGGTGGAGGCTGCTGTAGTGATGCTGGTCCTCTGGTCCTTGGTGGTGGTGATGGCTGTGGTGTTGAGCCACGGTAGATCTTGACCTGGGGGCCGGCACAGATGAAGGTTCTGGTTGCTGGATAAACGTCGCCTGTGGGCCACTAGGCCCAGGCAGCTGTGAAATCTGAAAAAAAACATACCTTTACTATTAGCAAATCAAAATAACTGTATGACGTATTTGTCTCTAATAAAAAAATGGAAATAAATTCACATGCCATATTATGACTTTAATGGAGGATTAAAGCCTTCTTAATTTACAGTATATAATATAGTGATAACACACACAACCCAGTTGACTGTACTCCCTTTAACCTGGCTCTGTTGTACACTGATAGGCACAATATTAGCATAGCATTAGCGCTATTAGCATTGCAATACTATGAACAATTATGAACTCAGACCAGCATTTCACATATTTATACAAGCAGAATACACTTGAAATGTAAGCCAAACTAGTGCACGGGAGTCATACACCTAGTAACATAGTGGTTTTAGCCCTACATTATTCAGGGAGCGATAGCCTGTGCTAAAGAAGCTAGCGGACGCCATTAGCTACTGTAGTGGAGCTCACTAGCTCACAGAATGACATTAAACTACACATAAAGAACAGTTTCAAACACACTTCTTAGATCGAAATATGACATCATCTTTGTACACACTACTAACCTGTTGAACAGGAGATATGAATGAAGCAGAGGGAACGTTGCTGCCTTTCTAGCCAGAATGCCAAGTCTGAGGCAGACACATAATAACAACACTTACTTTACGGCGCACTGAGGCCTTTCCGTGTCCTATACTGCCCTCTGCTGTTTGTAATTATATACACTCACTGTTTAACATAAACATGCCTTGGAGAGTATAACTTAATTTATACAAGACAATATACATTGAAAATGTAACCACATATTTATGCGGTTATCTGAATCATATTTCTACCCCTTATATTCGAAAATATATGATTAAATACGTAAAATATGTGCACTTCGACACTGCACTGTGTGGGTGGACTCCAGAGTTATATCTTTCAAACTAAATCTATCCACTATCTGCTTGTCTATGTTAAAAAGCCTCAGTCACCTTAATTCATGTAATAAAAACATCTCAACACCAACAGTCAGTCTGTCGAATTATAGGTTCACCAGAGATTACATGTCAATTGAGGCATCTCTGATGTACACACACTCTGTGGTTCTCTCACACATCACCTACTGTTTAACGACCTGGTCACATGCCAGTACAACAACATTAAAACCACTGGAGTCATTGTACAAACAAACACTCAAAATACTGGCCTTAAAATAAACGGCCTTACCTCACCTCCTCTTAGACAGTTTATTAACATACGCACAAGTGCAACTAGGGTAACAAGAGGTGCAGAGAGAGGAGATTATTTCAGTCAGTCTTCATTTTCTGTTAAAGCTGCTCAGCAATGGAACTCAATCCCATCTCCAATCAGAGACCAGTCCACATTCACTTTATTTAAATCGAAACTCAAAATATGGTTAGTGAGGAATCAGCTCTGCCAACACTGACCAAATCTTCTGCTCCTTACAACCCACTGCCTGTGTTTTAACATGTTCTTTTGTTTTGTTTTATTTGTTTTGTTTTAATGTTCTGTATTTTAAATTGTTTTATTTAAGTATCCCAGTAATGTATGTTGCATGTTTTAAATGTATTGTATTTACTTGTTTAAAATGAAATGTGTTTTAGATTGACTTTTAAAATCTGTCCAGGGACTACAGATGAAAAATAGCCTCTTGGCTAACTCTGGCACATTTACAGAAATGTTCATTAATGTGCACTGTCCCTGTTAAATAAATGATAAGTGCATGCAGATCACAGTACAGTAAAACATGTACACAGATACATTATTTTGTATTTTTATTAAATTTGACAATGTCAATTTCACTTTCCACTATGTACAGGTATCTTGGGTCAGTTTTGTCTGGGTCAGAGAAAATGCAGATATTACACTCAGAAAAGAAATGGTAGACATATCAGTACTTAGTGCCAAGTTGTCTCAGACAATCTGCATTTCCCAAGTCTATGTTAAAAAGCCTCAGTCACCTTAATTCATGTAATAAAAACATCTCAGGTCAGTAACACTGAAAGCTAAATGTGCAATACCATGTTCAGCTATGTTACTATTTATAATGTTATTGTTGTTACAACAGAAGATGTTTTTCTTTATATTGAAGTTAAATGCATCAATCTGGTGCACTTTGATGGCAAAATTAAGAGATTTATGGATACCGCTGGAAAAAGCTGCAGTACATATGCCGAGCCTGTACGTAGCGCTGTAACTTCCTCCACAAAAGCAGCCTTCTGTTTATTCAACGGCCGTGTCTCAATTCAGGGGCTGCACCCTTCGGAGTACGCAGCCTACGCGGTCCACGGAGGACCCAGCCCACGTAGACCGGGTAGGCTGGACCGAGCGGCCTACGAAATGAGACTGTCTAGCCTACGGAGGGCTTCGTATTTACGTCACGTGATACGCGCTGTTCGGTTACGCTGCTCCAGCAGCCTGCTAGCAAATTAGCTTACAAGCTAACTCAGCTGAAAAGGATCCAGAAACTTTACTTTTACATTTTTTGGAGATCACCGTCGGCGATGAATTAAAGAGGACCATGGCCAAGTAAATAAGATGAAGCTGTTCCTTTAGCCCCCAGTAATGTTACATTAGTAAGTTAACAAGTAAATTATATATAGCTGATGTAATTTAATCATATTATTTCATATTTAAAATAAGTCTTAATTTTTCTGTACTAAAACAATATGTTTTTTAAATGAACAAAAGCATGTTGTATAGATTGATTCTTAACAATATTAGTGTTCTAATCTTAATAGCTGTGATCATAACAGTAAATATTCTCCTTCTTCCCCTAAACCTGCCCAGATGATGTCCCACTGACCCCAGGTCAGCACCTCCAGGTCCAGCAGCACCGTGACCCCCCGCTCTGCTGAAATACACAATTAAACATTTTCATGACCTATTTTTTGTATTAATAAAATTAAACTGAAGACAGTTTAATGACCTAGAGATATCCTATTATTCCACTGCTTATGTACACATGTTGGAAATAATGGTTAAAACCTCAGTAAATGAAATAAACAATGTGTTTAACAATTACAATTTCATATTGTATTTTCATCTTATCACAAAGTAGAGGTAAGAATATATCCATCCTCTCTCTGCAGCGTCTTCTATTATTATAACTTTCATCATTGAGACAGAGGAAATCAATCATGTTATTTAACATCATCAGCAGTAAAACAAATATCAGCAAAAGTGTGTTTATGGAGTTGTTTATTTGTATTATATGTGCAGCAAGTATATAGAAGCAGCTGTTTGGGGAATCAGACAGACTCAAGCTATAATCGTTACATATCTATTAAAAGAAAAGACACATACAAAATCTAATTCTGAAACTCAGGCCCCGCTCACACGGGACCGTTTGCGTTTATGCACAGTATGCGTATTCAAAAAAGTCTTCCGTTCACGTTTCATTTAACGTGTCTGTTCAAACGAGGCCGCTGGAAACGCTGTAGTACATATGCTGGGACTGTAAGTGGCGCTGTAACTTCCCCCAAAATACACCAAAAGTAGCGAAGAAGAGCAGCTCAGCAGCCCCCGCCGCAATGTTGCCATGGCTACCCTTCTGTTCATGCCCCGCCGTGTATTTAGCAACATGTAGTTCATGTAATTCTCCATGTCCACTTGTTGCTGATGGTTGTGGTAGAGGAGCTGTAGATTTTTGCACTAATATCTGTAGCATGGTCAGTAGCAGTAGCACTAGCAGTAGCTACTGACAGGTGTGTGTGGCGATTGCTGGTATTCAGCGGGATATAGTAATTTCCTCAGCATATGGATAAATGCAACGGGGAAGTTAACTGAAAGAAACCGAATCTGTGGATATTGCATCGACCGACGTCTCCGTGGAGAGGACCCGCTCAGAAAAGAGAGATATTCTCTACAAACACCGGGTGAGATCCTCCTTTGTCAATATAATGGATCAATGCATGAAATCTGACTCTGTTTATTTTGTTTAAGGAGTATATTGGGCGTTAACTATTCTGGTTTGCCTTTTATAATATTATTTCATTCAAGAACCCCTTGTGCGTTTAATTAACACAGCTATTTTTGATAGTTGCTACAGCAGTGAGCAGGAGAGGTGCTATTTTTTTTTTTTTTCGCTATTTTTTCAGGAAATATTCATATCGAGGTGATTACACGGACTCGGTTGACCCCCCAGAGCGTTTCGTTTGCAAATCTATCCACCTTGGGACCCGTTATCGTTTGTGGGGTCAGTTTCTATCGGCCTCGTGTAAATAATAGGGCTATACGCACGCGAAACTATGCAGATACAAGCAGTTTTCTCCTCGTGTAAACGGCGCCTAAGACACAAGTCTGTAGGACGGCAGTAAGCAGAGGTCTGGGTGGAGGATGTTCCTGATCACCGTTTTGCTTTCTTCAGCACCACGGGGGGTCCAGGTGGATGGCAGCTCTGTCCTGATGATCCGCTGTGCACTTTTCAGATTAGGGGTCCTTCTCCAGCAGATCTATTTATCCAGAATTTTACTAATTACAGAGAAAAACAAGAGAAAAAGAAAAAAGTGAATTAATCATATTAAACACAGGGTTGCAGAAGTATTATTGCAAAATGTAACTCTAAGTATTTCAGACAAACAATCCCTAAAGGATCATTTAAAATGATGTACTGTTCTGGTTTTTAAAAAACTAAAGAGATGAAATCACAGTCACACGTGCATCCCTTTGACAGCACGGCACAAACTAACAACAAGCAAAAGGCTGCTGTCTATTTTTGATTGTCTTATTATTATGGGATTATGATACATTAAATAAACTTTAACCTTATAAAAGATGATCAAATCTGGTGGAAATATTTAAAATAGGCTTTTCTTTTAGCCCTACCTCAAAGCAGCATGAGCTGAACGAAAAGGTTGTAATGTTGTCCCAAAGTTTAATAAACAAAATGTCCCAAATGTCCCAAAATGTCAGAGAAATAAATAAAGCAAACAGCAGCTACACGTCAGGGTAGCATTTTATAAATCCCACCGTACTGTAGGCTATACAGGTCTAAATGTTTTCACTTTGGTCCATTTATGTAATATAAAGTATAACGTATCTATAACAGAGCCAAGATCTCTGTATGACTTTAGTAAACTTCTGAATTGAATTAAAAATAAGTGTAAACAACAGTGCAGTACGTCCAGCTAGCTAGTTAGCGTCACATATTTATCCGTATTATTTAACGAAAATGTACGTTTGAATGCCCCTTGGGTTTGACGTGTGTGACGTTAGTTAATTTAAAGTAATTAAAACCCAATACTCACATTTATTAGTGATTCCTCCGCTTGCTGCTGCTTTTAAATCCACTCTGCTGGGGAGACCGCAGCCATTTCATTTGAAAAAAACTCACTCTTCCCTGCGCGCATTGCACCCTGGGATATGGTAGGCCGCGGAGTGTACATCAGATGTATCCTTCAAATTGGGGAAAAGAAGGCTGCATTCGTGGGCCGCATTCGGAGGAGTCTCGTCTTTTTTTTAAATTGGGACAGCCTTCTTTCGGCGGAAGTGACGTATGCGGTCTACGAATGCAGCCTTCGAAGGATGAAACCCCTGAATTGAGACACGGCCCATACACTCCGTTTTTGCTATCCTAGCGTTCGGACATCCGTGGCTGGAGTGCCTAAAATAGGGATACGACGGGCAGTTTGGTGTTAGAGGCCACGCTGTAAACGCCCCCCTAAGCAGATTACGTTGATCTTGCGTGTATATTCTGGGGGGTTTAGTCCTAAAAAGATTGGACGGCTATTCACCGGAGCCTTATCAGCACCGGAGAACGGTATCGGAGACGGCCTAGATATTAACGTTGGTTGTATGGAAGTTAGATTCCTTTTCACATCAATGTTTGTCAGCATTTTAAAGTGCTGTTTGACTCCCAAGTAAAGGCCACACAAAAGCCATATATAATTATCCAAAAGATCCAGAAAGAGATGGTATTGATTTGATTTTCAGATGAACTCGTCAATACAGATAACGAGGAGGCAATTTCATTATACCTAATACTTTGGAACTGTTGTAATACAGCGATTACTTTTTTTCTCATCTTTATTACCTGACAGGCAAAAAAGTAGCTTTCTTTCAACAGGATCCTTTCTGCCCCTGGGCTGATAGTCATCTGGACTAATAGACTCAAGGAGGGCTTGTTGTCTTGTTGGACTTAACAAAGTGGGTTCCACTGAACGATATCGGCACTGCAGCTACTAGCGCTTCATCCTGTACCTCACCCAATAATACAGAGGAATTGTGAAGGCAGTTCTGATTGCCTGATGTCATTAAGACCATTAAGTCATGTGGCTAATACTGTGACTATATTTTAACATTCTCACAGAGAACTTTGACCTCTTGGTCAGCAAGCACCCTACAAAGTCACTAAAACTTAAAAAAATCATGTTCCATCTATGTTTGTCAGCATTTTAAAGTGCTGTTTGACTCTCAAGTAAAGGCCACAAACAGCCCCATATAATTATCCAAAAGATCCAGAAACAGATGGTATTTATTTGATTTTCAGATTAACTCGTGAATACAGATAGCGAGGTTGCTTCGCTTTGATTTCCATTGTCTGAAATCCTTATGATGCTAAAGGTACACTCAGTTCTACTAATCAGTGCCTTAACTTTCACAGGGCTGGAGTCATTAACAGTCAAACTGCCGCTGTTTGTTTCACAGGAGTAATCTAACTGTAGTCTAAACCCAGCAGAGTTTTCAGTTGGTGGAAAGCCAAAATAAACCGTGTCCTGGTCAGAATTAAGAACAGTTACTCCCCCTAATGGAGGAACATCTGTCACAAGAGAAGAAAAGTACATCTCAGTATCTTTACATATCGCTGCGTATATATTTGTTACAATCAGGGCCGTCCCTCCCTACAGGAAGATCATGCAGACTGCGTGGGACCTCACCTCGCGGAGGGGTCCTCATCTTGCGGAGCACCTATGCGTTTATGCGGCGCAATTAGTTTGGCGCTGCACGGTTTCGCCGCTGCGAGGCTCCAGTAGCACCCCCCAACCCCCCCTCAGTTATTGACAGTCACACTTACGTTCGGACTCTGGTGCTGCTGGATTGTTCTTTCCTTCCTCACAGCACGGGTCAGGGAAGGAATCTCTTTCTTCATGATGTTCCTTAGTAATTAAGAACAATATGTTTAATTTTTTTTATTCTAATCGATACATGAATCATGCCATATTCACAATAGCTTACATGACAATATTTATCTTGCAATTGTAATTTAATTATTTACCTCCTCATCAGGGTTATCCATTGCAGAAACACTCTCAGCCATCCCACACTCTCAAGATTCTTCAAACAGCTTCTCAATGAAAGTGTTGGAAAAGAACTGTGTTACAACATCTAATCTAATTTAGATTCAACACCAACAACTATATTACACAAAACTCAGCTCTGTGAACTCTGCAGCCTGCTACACTACAATTTAGATTAAACAAAAAGAACCAAATGGTCAGCACTCTTTAAGTGCCGTAAAGGACAGATTTAACATGAGTCAGTGAGGCTGGTATAATAGTAGGGTCATGCAGAGTAAGGTCGCCTATACCTTTAAGAGAGAGAGGGGGGGAAAGTGTGCGGCGTGTGCATGTGGAGTGTGCATGGGTAGAGCAAGCGATTGTGAGCGAGCATGTTTCTGGAAGTGAACGGTTTGTTACAGTTAGCTGTAAAACAAAGTTGCGAATGAATTACATAACATGTTAGTTGTGTCACAAATACAACGGCCTCCCCAGGAAAAGCTTGCCGGTCTGCCTTATCTAAGAGTGGGTTATTGAACCCCGAAGTCTGTTGCCTCGGCCCTGGAAGACTGGAGGCAGTCATCCCCTGTAATACTACGGTCTGGGAGCCACGCAGGAAAGTTCAACAAGGCTATTGGAAGCCTTTAAAACTATGTTACATATCAATAAAGGAAAAATACAACATCAATCACAGACAAAGAAATTGTTTCCTACCTTTATGGAATAACCATGGTGAAAGGCTGTTCTTGATTCCCACAGTCTTTAAACTACTCTATATGCAATATTTTGTTATAAGTTCATTTGTCCTGAGTTAACAGCTCTGCTCTTCTCTGGTAATGCAAAAATCCAATGGCACGCGTGTCATTTTATACTGCTAAGTGAAGTAACTTTCTCTTTCATATTGGGCCATACCTACTGATCACGTGGTTTCTCGGAAAGATGATTCCGTTTACAGTAAATCATATAAAAAAAACGTTTTAAAACTCAGCCGCCTCTCACATTTGTTTTTTCAAATCAGCTGCTCTTCATTATTCCTGCTATATTTGACGAGTGATACAAATATTTTTTACCACAACTTCTTAAGGAAACTGACACTGTTGGACTCGGTACTAGTTTTGACTTCTACCTGAAATATAATGTACTTTTACTGTGTACTTTGTGAGTAATCCTCTGTCAAAGTCCCCTCCATAATGCATGTTTTTCTGCTATCTTTGATGAATGATGAAACAACAATTCTTGGCCATTTATTGTGTCATTTCTCCAAACACATACAGTAAAAATGCCTGTTTTGAAGCCTTAAAATGGTGCAGGAAAAGGACTTTACATTGTATTATACTTAAAGACAGGGCTATTCAGTTAAAGGACACCTATCATGCTATATTTAACTGATATATTCTAGGGCCATACCTATATAAGGTATATTTATACGTTTCTGTTTTCAAAATACCAAACAGATCATGCATTTTGCTTTATATGGGGCTGATTCCAGAGAGTACCACAGCTTCATAGCTGCGGCTCCGCAGCTGATTGCACATCCCCTAACACAATGTTATGGGGAATGGAAAAGCAGTGGTGTATTAACGGAGCGGATGGACAGGACACTGAGACTGGGTTATTCACTCCAGTTTTGCAGCATCCCTCCTCCGTTCAGAGGCATGAGAGAGGCAAATCTGTCATCCCAGGAGGAGATAGGTTTCCTCTCGGCATGTGCACTCTCAAGTCAGAGAGAAGGGGCACTATTCCCTGTACTTCCTGGTTCCCAAGAAGACAGGAGAATTCAGGCCCATTCTGGATCTTCAATGCCTGAACCAGCACATTGCATGCAAGAAGTTCCATATGTTAACTATGAAACAGTTACTGGGACTGGTGCAGCCAGGCGATTGGTTCACAACCATCGACCTGAAGAACGCTTACTTTCATGGCGAAATTGCTCCAAGACACAGAAAGTATTTGCGTTTTGCCTTCCAGGGGGTAGCCTACGAGTACAACAGACTGCTGTTCGGCTACTCCCTATCCCCACGCACGTTCAGCCACGACGCTGCAACCGCTGCGGGACCATGGCATGAGGAACGACCTCATAGTCATGGCCAGGTCCAGGGAATGGGCAATGTTTCACACAGCCCAATTGATCCTACACCTAACCAAGTTGGGTTGAAAAATAAGTTGCGGTCAATTGGAAGAAGAGCTCCCCCATACCTCACCAGCAGGTAGAATATCTGGGGGTGATGCTCGATGCAGGCAGACTACGTGTCACCCTGACAGAAAGCAGACAGGCATCCCTGCTGCGGGCAGTCTGCAGGCTGCGTCAGGGGGCGACGGTGACAGCTTTGATCATCATGCAGATTTTGGGTCTCATGACGGCTGCTCACTCCGTAGTGCCACTCGGACTGCTGCATGCACGTCGCATGCAGAGGTGGTTTACCGGCCTTCGTTTAGATCTTAAGACACAAACGACGTCTGGTGACCACCCCCCCCCTCAGTAGAGAGCAACCTCCGATTCTGGGGGCCCCCAGAGAATCTGCGGAGGGGAGCTCCACTGGGGCAGGTAACCTCCTATATCACAGTCTTCACAGACGCTTCAGTGACAGGATGGGGGGGGGACGTGCCTAGAGAGAGCTGTGGGTGGTTGCTGGCCTCTGGCAGAGGTGCGGCACAGCAACCTCCTGGAGCTGCAAGCAGTGATGTTGGTCCTACAGCACTTCAAACCCTTAATACAGGGCAAACATGTGCTAGTAGGGAGCGACAACCGCACCACAATGGCGTACATCAACAGGCAGGGCGGAGTCCGCTCAATAGCCTTGTTGACCGCAGCAGATAACCTGTGGCTGTGGGTTTCACAGATTGTGTTGTCTCTAAGGGCCCTGCACATCCCGGGACGGGAGAACGGGGGGGCCAACCTCATGTCAAGAGGCGGACCCCTGCCAGATGAGTGGAGGCTTCACCCGGAGGAGGTGAAGCAGGTCTGGACTCAGATCGGAGAGCAGAGGTGGACCTGTTCGCCAATCGGCGCAACAGCCACTGTGCCCTGTGGTTCTCCCTGGCTCGGTGGGACAACCCGCCCTTGGGGGTCGACGCATTTGCACACGAGCCATGGCCAAGAAAGCTGCTTTACGCCTTTCCACCGCTGCACCTTATCCCCCCCCTCCTGGAGAGGGTGAGGCGGGAACAGCTGTCAATCATCCTGGTGGCCCCAGATCGCCGCCTGGCGCCGTGGTACGCGGGGGTAACACAGATGATGGTGGGCCAGCCCTGGGCGATTCCTCAGGTCTGGGGAGCGCTGTCTCAGGAAGCAGGTGCAATAGGGGCGTTACCCACTCTGGGCCAACCTCTCCAGGCTTGGCTCCTGAGAGGGACAGGCTGAGAAATGTGGGGCTGTCTGATAACGTTATTCAGATTATCCAAGCAGCAAGAGCAGAATCCACCACAGCTTGTTACAGGCCAAAGTGGGCGGGATTCCGGCGATGGTGTGAAGGAAGGAGTCTAGAGCCTCTGTCGTGCACGCTGGGCTCTATTCTTACCTACTTACAGATACTGGTGGACAGGGGGCTGGGTCATTCCACAATTAAGGTGTATGCAGCAGCCATTTCATCCTGCCATGAGGGATTTGGAGGCAGGTCAGCCTTCAGTCAGCCGCTTATGGCGCGGTTTTTGCAGGGGGTCAGGAGGCAGCGCCCGGTAGTGCATGCCTCCGCCCCACAGTGGGACCTGCCGTTGGTGCTCGAGGCTCGGGTCACAGAACCATTTGAGCCTCTGGAGCTCTCCTCCCTGAAAGCACTGTCATGGAAGACAGCATTGCTACTTGCCTTGACTTCGGCTAAAAGAGTGTCCGAGCTGACCGCTCTGTCGGTACACCCAAGTTGTCTTTTGATCCGGGGTGACCGTAGCGGGGCGACACTCAGGCCAAACCCCTCCTTTACTCCTAAGAGTATCAGAAGTTCATTCAGATCAAGGGCTATTCAGTTAGGTGGCTTTAATCTTCCACCCCATATTGGGGCCAGGGAGGCTAAATTGCACCTCCTCTGCCCAGTGCGTGCGCTAGCATGCTATGTAGAGCGCACGGCTGCCATTAGATGCACTGAACAGCTGTTTGTGTGCTTTGGGGATGGTGTGGCTGGAAAAGCTCTCTCCAAGAAGCGCCTAACAGGATGGCTATGCGGGTGCATTATGCATGCCTATGGGCGGGCGGGGAGAGCCCTCCCCACTGGGGTCCGAGCACATTCTACACGGGCTGTGGCTGTGTCAACAGCCTTATTCAGCGGCGTGAGTGTAGAAGATATATGCACGGCGGCGTCTTGGTCTACGCCAGGCCCCTTCATAAAATGTTATCTCCTGGACATGTCTGGCTCCTTCTCGTCGTCTGTGCTTGACGAGGCAACTCATGACTGGTGAGAGGGGTGGTGGCTGTGTGTCAGCAGGTATCTGACCCCCCCCCCCTGGACATAAAGCACTTGTGTTTTCCAATGCTCCTGAGGGACTCGGGAGACATGGTGCGTAATCAGCCCCATACAGGGCTGGAGGACTCTCCCCGCCTGCCTTTGGCTAACATCCTGCATCCCCACTTCCTCCCATCCGGTTACAACCGGATGGGAGGAAGTGGGGATGCAGGATGTTAGCCAAAAGCCGGTCAGGGACAGTGTGGTGGGTCGATGTTGTCGGACGACAGGGCGTTTATACATCGGGGCTCCGCCCACTGTACCCATAGAGTCCAGTAGAGGGCGGAGCCTGTGTGAGATATAACGGGGGGTTACGTATTGTATCCCTAGTTATATAAGCACAGGCGGAGCCCTCTACCTGGGGGCCCTGTCTTTCCTAGTCCGCTCGCTGAAGAGTGTATAGGATAGTGAGGCGGCGGGTGTAGCCGCCTTATATACTGTGGGCCTGCGCGCGCATTCAGGTAGGCTCGCCCCGATTGGCCAGCTACGTTTACGTAAATTCAGTAGGTGAAAGCACGCACAGCATGATAGAGAGCAGTACCCATAGAGTCCAGTAGAGGGCCCCGCCTGTGCTTATATAACTAGGGTTACAATACGTAACCCCCCATTCCAGACAATGCATGGCTCAGCGTAACAGACTGAACAGCGACCCCAGGTGTGTCTACATTGGAATTACATCTTCATTACTGAAGGAAAATACTTTACCTAGTGTTTGTTAACTGGGTTTTTAATGCAGTTGGCTTTTCTTAATGGTTACAATATTGCTATGAGTTACAGTATATCTGAAGCAAATTATGTTTCTGAAGATGTGTAGTCAATTCCACCCTTCAATGTAGCATAAATGTGAACTCTCATTACAGGAACAATACCGGAAACAGATGTAGGAAAGATCCTCAGCTCGCTGATTGGATGTTTTAGCCGCAATGCACGTTGGGAGATGGTGTTTATGCGATGTGAAATCCGAAAACATTTAAAAATAAAATAATACTTTATTCCGAGTGTTCTTGCTTTTCTCTTTGGAAGTCATCACATAGCGGCATTGTAATACACGGTTCGGCTGCATTAAATATTACACATCTGCCGTAGTCCTTTATTTATAGAGCCCTGATGAGAAGACTTCTGGACAAACAGGAAGAAGTGCCGCCGAAACTGAATACGTGACGTGGATCATAAATATATCAACAATTACACAATATCTTACATTTATTTTCACAAAATACGTCTCCTTGCAGTATCAATAGTAATTCGGCTGACTTTTATATTTGATCCAATTGGTAGATAGGTTATATTTACACCATAACGGTGCACAGCTGATAGAAAAGGACTTGTAGTTTTTAAAGATATTACTGATTTTCTTTGAATATAAGAATGTAAATACTGAGTTGAGAGAATAGTCAGGGGATTTGGGTGATGGGAGACACATCTATGGAATCACAATTTCAATAGCTT